AAATTTAACAAAATTATTTAAAAAATATTCAAACAAAAAATAGTTTAGATAGAAAATTCAAAAAAATAATTCAAACAATAATGCAAAAAAAAAAATAATTTAAAACGAAAATCTAACAAAATAATTCAAAAAAATTATTCAAATAATATCCAAACAAAAAAATACACTAAAAAGAAAATTCAACAAAATAATTAAAAAAATAGTTTAAAAACATATTTAAAAAAAAAAATTCAAAAGAGCAATTAAATTTCAAAAAAATATTAATATTTCCTGCTGTCTAAAATTTCTATTCACATATCTTTTTAAAGAGACTGTCGCGAGAAATAATAACCGTAAAGAATTACATTCGAAATAGAAATTCCCTGTAACAATTTGTGAATCATCATCTCCCATTGTTAATTGTATGCGCGCAATATTGAAGGCCACGGTTACAAGCGTGAGTGCATTTGTACCAGAATAAGATTTTTTTTTCTAGCCTATTTCCGAAGGTTAAATTTCCTGGACCAATACCAAAGGAAACGCACATCAAGGACATAATTTTTTCAAATCGATTTCTTCTTTATATATTGTATATAAATTTTTTTTTTTTAGAGAAACAATGAATACAAAAATATTAACACAAAAATAAACTATACATAATATAGAGACTCTTATGAAACATTAGTAAAAACTCGTCACACAAACAAAACAGATGAATATGCAATTTTTTTTTTTTAAATTCCAAACACGATATATAAGTACAATGAAGCAAAATTTCGATTAAAAATACACAGTAATTACAGTATAATTACAAGTATAATTATGTGGAGATTAATGTTGTTGAATATTACAATCAAAATGTTCTATAAATAAAAATAATCGTTTACAAGAAAAAATGATTTTTTTCCATTTATATAAAAATTTAAGTTACGAACTAAAAATTATAATTGATTAAATATTAAAAATTAAAAAATATTTAAAAAATAACAAAAATATTCTAAAAATATTTTTAGAGTGTTCGTGATATTTTCGAAATTTCTAATTTAACTTTTATTCAATTACAATTCTTTCTTATTTTTTTTTATTTTTTTTTAAGTGTGGTAAATTTGGAGAATAACTTTTTTTACTTTTTTTTATTTTATTTCGCATGTGGTTTATTTTATTTGCGGTCACGTTCTCGATCGGAAAACATGTCGATGACTAAAACGATTGACGAACAATAAATTTTGCAATATTCTCTATCAGTTTTATAAACATAAATAAAGGTCAATATCGTCGGGAAAATCGATGAATGAATTTGAATATATATGTAAATTCCAATAAAAACGCTATTTCTTCGAAGAAAATGTAACTTTTTTTTGTAAATTCAATACTAGCAGTATATTTAAACATAATAAATTAATAATTGATTAGTAGAAAAAAAATATATTTTTCTAAGTAAATTTCTATAAATTTTTTGCTAGAAAAGTTGTTTTCTGTTGAATTGACTCATATTCAATTATCAATTCTCATTAGAAATTTCTACGAGAATTAAATTACTTAAATACAAAAATAGAAAATTGAATGAATAATTCATTATTTCTTAAAATTGAATTCTTATAAAGAATTTTATCAAAAATTCTATAAATAATTGAATTCTTTCGAAGAATTTTAATAAAATTTTTAAGAATAATTGCGTTTTTGGAGGAATTTACTTCAAATTGTATTAAAAATAATTAACATCCTACGATGAATTTTATTAGTTATGAAAATATTTGAATTATTGCAATGGATTTTTTAAAAAATTTTAAAAATAACTAAATTCCTTAGAAAAATTTTATTAGAAGAAAAAAATATATTTTTTTAATTCATAAAAGTAATTATATTCTTGTGAAGAACTTCATTAGATTTTTTTTAAATAATTGAATTCCATCAGCGAATTTTGTTAAACTTTTAAAAAACAAATTCAATTCTATCAAGAAATTTTATTCAGATTCTATGGAAATAATTCAATTTTTCCAAAGATTTTTTTAACTCATAAGAAAATTGTTCAAAGGAATTCAATTATTTAAAAAAATTTTGATATAATTTTTTTATTATAATCGAAAAATTCTTTTCAATACATGTTTAAAAAAATTTCCTAAAAGAATTTAATTATTTTCAAAAATGTTAATGAAATTATTTTTAATAATTGAATTCTTGTCATGAATTTTATTTAAAGTTTTTTAAATACCTCATTGAATTCTTTTAGGGGAATTTTATTGAACGACTTGATATTGAAAATAATTGAATTTCGACAAATTTTTTAAATTAATTAAATTTCTATGAAGAATTTTATTAACATTTTTTTGAAAATAATTGAATTGTTATGAAGAATTTCATTAAAATTATTGAAAATAATTCAATTCTTTCGAAAAATTGTATTGAAAATCTAATAAAAGAATTTTCAAATTCTAATAAAAAAATTATATCAAATTTTTTTAAAATAATTGAATTCCTTTGAAGAACTTTATTAGTTTTAAAAATAATTTAATTCTTGTGAAGAATTTTCTAAAAATCTTTTTAAATAATTAATTTCTTCTAAAGAAATTTATAATAATTGTATTTTAAATAATTAAATCTTATTAAAATGGTGTTGAAAATAATTTAATTGTTATAGAGAATTTTATTAAAATTATTGAAAATAATTAAATTCTTTCACAAAATTTTATTGAAAATCTATTGAAAGAATATTGAAATTCTAATAAAAGAATTATATCAAAAATTTTTTAAAAATAATATTGAATTCCTTTGAAGAGTTTTATTATTTTTTAAAATAATTGAATTCCTTTGAAGAGTTTTATTATTTTTAAAAATAATTGAATTCTTGTGAAGAATTTTCTAAAAATCTTTTTAAATAATTAATTTCTTTCAAAGAAGTTTAGGAGAATTGTATTTTAAATAATTAAATTTCTGTAAATAATTAATTTCTTTCAAAAAATTTTTTAAAAAATAACATTGAAAATAATGGAATTTCTGTTTAGAATTTAATTATTTGTGAAAATAATGGAATTTTTTCGAAGAATTTCATTTCAATTTTTTCAAGAAATTCAATTATAATTGTATTAAAAATATATCAATTCTTACAAACAGTTTTGATTAAAATCTTTATAAAAATAATTGAGTTTTTGCAGAGAATTTTATAAAAATTGTTTTAAATAATTATTTTCGTTCAAAAAAATTTATGAAAATTGTACTTCAAAATAATTAAATTCTTTCAAAAAATTATATTGAAAATCTATTGAAAGAATTTTCAAATTCTAATAAAAGAATTATATCAAAATTTTTTTAAAAAATAATTGAATTTCTTTGAAGAATTTTATTTTTTTTTAAAATAATTGAATTCTTGTGAAGAATATTCTAAAAAATCGAATTATTAATTTCTTTCAAAGAAATTTATGAGAATTGTATTTTAAATAATTAAATTTCTGTAAATAATTAATTTCTTTCAAAAAAATTTTTATAAATTAGTGAAAAGAAATGAATTCTTGCAAAGAATTTCATTTAAATTTTTTCAAGGAATTTAATTATAATTGTACTAAAAATATATGAATTCTTACAACCAATGTTTATTAATATCCTTATAAAAACAATTGATTTCTCGCATGTAGAATTTTATAAAAATTGTCTGAAATAATTAATTTCTTTCAAAAAAGTTTATGAAATTTGTACTTCAAAATAATTGAATTTCTGTAAAAATTTTATTTTAAAAGAGTAATTGAATTTTATGGAAGAATTTAATTAATTTTTTTTTAAATAATTGAATTCTTGCGAAAAATGTTCTTTAAATTTTTGAAGATAATTGAATTAAAGAATTTTTAATTGCATTAAAGAATGCAATTAAAAAATTTTTGAATTGTTTCTAAGGATTTTATTAAATTTTTTTAATCGTTTCTAAGAATTTTATTTTAATTTTAATTAAAATATTTTCTACTTTAACCATTAGAAGATTTAAAGTATTTTCCAATTTAAAAAAAAAAAGTGGCTTTTAGTTTCACAAATCTAAAGAATGTATCTAAATAGCAGCAAATCGTAAAAAAAAGTAGTAAATAGTAGGTTTTAGTAGATGAGTATGCGAAGCCTGATTATCAGATTGATAAACTGGAAAAACTGCAGAAAAGTGAAAACTAAAGAAATTTACTTCTTAGTTTACTTTACTAAGTTTACATAGTAAAGAGAGATTTACTTTTCTTTTCCAGAAAAGAAACAAAAATTAAATACGAAGAAGAAAAGTTAAAACAAAATCCAACGAAAAGAAATGAAATTCCCTTCTTCAAAATTCAAAGAAGTCAAAATCACCCATCGAAAAATTCAGCCTAAGAAATAAATAAAAAGAAAAAAATGTAAACACCATGTAAGCCTAAGTGCACGTGCACTCAAGAAAATCCTATATAATCCACATAGGTTCATCGTCCACGTGTTCACTGTACACAAACTGTACAGTTGTATAGTGTTCGTTTTTGAGTATATTAGTACATGTAGCATCATTGGAAGGGGGCTATAGTGTATAGATAGTATAGTAGTGATATAAACTGGCAAGAGCGAGAACCAAGATTGCTTTCAGTGTGTAAAGGTGAGGTTAGGTGCGGGTGTCATTCAGTGCGCTTGTACTCAGCAAAACCGACTGGCACACATGAAAACGACAAAACTGTTCTCAATATTCCAACCATCTCTCAACACACAACACACAATAAACAAAAGCCTTAAATAATTTCATTATCCCATACAGAAAAAGTGAAATTTCCTTTTCTTTTCAAGTGCAAGTGAAATCAGCAAAATAAAATTTACCTCAAACCGAAATAGAGTGAAAGGAAAATTGTGTGATTATATACAAAAGAAACTCTAATTCCTCATATAGTTATCGTCTCCATATAAACATTTATCGCATAGTTTTTGAAACATTTCGAAAATCGCAAATGTGTGTTAATCTGTTAATTTACCTGGATTTATAAATGTAAACAAATTTCATGCAAACAAAAAGCAGTGAGAGGAAAAGAACTAACCTTACTTAATGTAGAAACTCTGTAAGCTTAATGTTGGAATTGACTTCATTGCAGATTGAAATTAATAATTATGGGAATAATTTCATCGACGTTTACATCTTTGGCTCTTCAGTTCGCTTGGAATTATCAGAGACTTCTGGATCCGAGATATAGGTTAGTTTTTATAATACTCTGAAACAAAAAAAAAAAAATCAATCGTCATTATTGTAAATTGGAGCATTGTATTGTTGCAATTTTATCATTAATACTATTACTCAGTAATAAATTAATAATATTACTCAGTAATAATATTACTTATTCTTTTTGAATTACTTTTCCCATTTTCATATTGAAACACTAAACTTTTTTCTATTCTTAGCCTACCGAATAATTTATTTTTGAATATTGAATCTCTAATCATTTGTTAACAAACTGTAGAAAAAGAAAGAGCTGTTAAAATAGAAGTAATTTCATTTGTTACACAAATTTTGTTCTTCATAATTTCAATAACAAACTACGAATCTGCATTGTTGGACAAAAGAATAAATTTGTTAGTTCTACATTAAAAAAACGGAATCTAAACAAATAATCCATTCTTTAATATAATCTATGGAATATAGTTATCTTTAATCAACAGCACAAAAATAAAAAATTGCACAAAGAAGATTTGTTAAAATAAAACTATTTTCGTTTGTTGTTGCAAAATGTTTTGATTCTTAAAACAGATTTATTTCTATCACAACAAATCTTCGTTGTTGGTCAACAAAATAAATCTTTTAGTTGTGGATTAACAATTCGGAATAACAACACTACCAAATAATCAATTCTTGAATATAATTATAAACTATACAATAATGATCGTTAATCAACAAGAAATAAATAAAAGATTGCACAAACAAGAATTGTTAAAATAAAACAACTTCGTTTGTTGTAAATTTTTTGTTTCCTATATACAGATTTATTTCTATCACATAACAAATCTGCATTGTTGGTCAATAAAATAAATCTTTTAGTTCTAGATTAACAATCCGGAATCTAAAACTATCAATTAATCTATTCTTGAATATAATTATCACTACTATGTAATAATTATCTTTAATTAACAACAAACAAATCAAAAATTGCACTAACAAACAAGAATTGTTAAAAAAGAAACTAATAAATTTTGTTTGTTGTTGCAACATTTTTTTTTCTCAAACAGATTTATGTCTATTACAACAAATCTGCATTGTTGATCAACAAAATAAATCTTTTAGTTCTATATTAACAATACGGAATTTAACACTACAAAATATTCTTCAATATCATTATCTATAATCAACTGTTGACAGTTTGCACAAAAAAAAATTGTTAAAATAGAACTAACAAATTTCGTTTGTTATTGTTGTTACAAAATTTTTTGTTTCTTAATCAATGTTCCTAAAGTTCTGAATGTTGAAATGAACTAATTTTAATTTTCTAAAATTTTGAACATTTAAATAAACGAAATATTTGTTATGCTTCAATATTTTGAAAAAAAAATTACTAGACTGAAATGAAAATGATCGTAATTCAGCATTTATTATTAAAATTATTGTTTTAATTTAAAAAAAATAATAAATAAATATTAATAAAAGTATCGTCGTTCATTTGAGCTTTCAAAACATTAGTTTCCTCTTGACTTAAAGAAATCATTTGCTTTGACTTGTTTTCTTGATTAAAAATTAATTTTTCTTTGATTCAAAAAAAATTATTTGTTTGAAATAATTTTAATAATTTTAATAATTTTTTTATTATTTGGATTACAAGAAAATGTATTTGATTCAAAAGCAATTTATTTACTTTAAAGAAACTTTTCTTTTTAAGTTAAAGAATTATTTTCTTGTCTCTATCATTAAGATGATAAAATTTCTTTGCTTTGAGGAACAAATTTTTTGGACTCAAAGAAAATTTGTTTGAATCAAAGAAAATTTGTTTTGAATCAAAGAAAAGTTGTGCAAATCAAAGAAATTTTTTTCGAATCAACAACCCTCTTTTTATTGAAAAAAAATTCTCTTCTTTTGAAAGAAAAATTTAGTTTGAACCAAACAAAACGAGTCTAAGAAACTGAGTATATTTCTTAAAATCAACAAAAACTATTTTCTGGTGTAATTTTATTTCAGAAAAACTACGTCACGCAAAAAAAGAAAATAAATTATAAACTCTCCAAAAGCTAAATTCAAGTTTTTAATCTGTATTGCATTCAGAAATGTTTGTAAATATTTTTAATGGCAAATATTTCCTTTAGTTTAAACGTTCAAAACTTGTAGATAATCTTTAACAGATATCAAAGCTGCTACAACAATAAAAATATTTTGTTGATTGTTGCATTGTTGGTAAATAAAATAATTTTGTTGTCTATATTAACAGTCCGGAAATTATATCAACAAATAATTACATATAATAATACTGATAATATGATGCTAAATATACAATAATGATTCTTTTTACATTCTCATAAAAAATGAGATCTTGAATTTCTTTTTCCCTCTAAATGTTATAATTTAATCATTTTTTATTTTCCTCCAGAAAAAAGCTCTAATTTTGTAAAATATTTGCTTTTTTAAAAAAAAATCAAACAAGTTATGGTTTATGAAAACAACCTTGCAAATATGAATGTGTTTTAAAGCATAAAACGCAATAAGGAAAAGTTGCATTTGAGAGTTGATTTTTGCTTTTTCAAACAAGTTACAAATTACACACACAACATCGCGAATGTACACCACTATATTTTTATTTTTTAATTAACAATCCACAGTGATAAAGTTACCTGCAGTTTGTCATTACAGTCAATAATAAATTCGATAAAAAATTATTGCCCAATTATTTCACTAAAGTTATGAATTTTCCAGTGAACCGAAATTATTTTTTCTGTTTAAATATTTCCAAAAATTGCAATATTGCTCTCTAAATTTTTATTAGTAAAAATATTTTCTAATCTATAAATAAAAAAATAAATAAATAAATTTGAATTATTAACTGACTTTTTTCTTCTGAATTAGAAAAATTTACTAAAAAATTGTACTTTCTAGTAGTTTCTACTAATTTATTAGTAAAATTAACTGATTCAAAAGCAAAAAGTCAATCACTAATTCACACTAGTAAACAATTTTACAAATTAATTTTTTTTTTTGATACTCTCTATTTTCAAATTGGTAAAAATATTTACTAATTTGAATTACTGACTGATTTTTTGCTTTTTAATTAGTAGAATTTACTAATTCAGAAGCAAAAATTCTGTTACTAATTCAAACTAGTAAACAATTTTACTAATTAATTTTTTTCGCTACTCTCTAAATTAAAATTGGTAAACATATTTAACTAATTTTAATTACTAAATGATATTTGCTTTTTAATTAGTAAAATTTACTAATTTAAATTTACAGAGTAAATTGAAAAATAATGTAAATTCATCATTTTCTTAGTTTGAAATTAGTTTTTTTTAGTAGGGGAATGTAGTCAAGGTTGGCCTACTGTCTAGGTAGGCCACTCGCGTTTTTTTGTCAAGTTCACTAGCGCCACCTACGCGCATTTTTGTCGAAGCTTGTCTTAGTGAAACCTAACTTTTTGTTCAATTACATTTTCGGAAAATCGAAAATTGTGTTTTCTGTGACGTCGGTACAAAAAAAGCTCAAAAAAAGTTTTGTGCATAATGTGAAAAACCATTAATAAAAGATAAAAAACAAATTGAATCGTCAAGGCAAGTATGCAGAAAATTTGTGGGACTCATGGTTGAAAGGAAAACAAAGTAAAAAATCGAATCCCGAAACGTATTTCTTTTTGTTTACAACAATTCGGTAATGTTACTTACTGTCAAGGTCGGCCACTATGTGTTTAAAATGCGCAAAGTTGAGGACGAGCTACTTCATTTGCAAAAACTGCAATTCTGTATAACTCATAATATAATTGATCATCTTATTAATATTTTTATTTAATTTTATTAATATTTTAGTGCAAAACTTTTTTTTATTTATATTTATTTTTTTATATTGTTTATTGTTATTATTTTGTTATTTCATTAAGTTACAAACTGTAAACAATAAAGAATCAATTTTCCGTAACTCCAAACATGTTATTTTATTTTTTAACGATTAATGCCCTTTGAATTTTAAACATGGCCGACCTTGACTGTAATGGCTAACCTGGACTACAAATTTTTTTTTTTTTAAATCTTTATAACTTTTTCATTTTTAAACCTGTCAATTTACTTTGTACAGAAAAAATGTTCCTATTAAACAGGACTTTCCAACCATATACTTCAATTGTCCAAATTCATTTTTAAAAAAAAGTTATAAACAAAAGTCAAAAAGGTGGCCGACCTAGACTATGTTCCCCTATATAAATGACACTTTATAATTTTTTATAATATAAATGACACTTTTTTTCATCATTATATTACTTTTTTCAAATGAACAAAATTGATTTTTCTGTTTCACATATTTTCAAAAACTTTCATATTGAAATGAAAAACAATTTTAATATTCAAATTAAGTGATATTAAAAATATGGATGTTCAAAATTTTTGGAACTTTAAGGACATGGCCGAACTATAAAGATTACTATAAATTTTACAACCAACATTTTTATTATTCATAAAAGAAAATGTTTCCTAATTTTCTTCCCTAAATTCGAAAATTTCTTTTCCTTGCACAAAACAACATAAATAAAATTGAAATGACAACCTAAAAACCTTGTTTCTAAAAAAAATTATTGCCGCATAACAATTTTCATTCTCGATTTATAATTTTTTTCTACCCATTAGCCTATTTTTCTATGATAAGGGCAAATATTTTTCCATAAAGTTAAATTAGTTACTGGAAAATGTGCATGAATATGAGGTCGAATCGAGTACGTGTACAAGGAGCACTGTGCTAAACTAATTTTTAAAGGTCACGTCCATAAAGGTTTTTAGACCAAGATATGATGGTTGTTCAAGAGTTCTTTATAAGACACGCAAATGATTGTCGAACATGCAATAATAATTATTCAACATAGTATGCCTTTTTAAACTTCAAAAAAAAATTATTCCTCTGTTAATAATATCATTGACAAATAACAATATCAGGAAGGAAGACGATTTTTCCCCGAATTCCTACAAGTGCAAAATATTTCTTCTCTAATCACGCAACTGAACTCATTACGAAGAATTAAGGCAA